CCTACGTCCGAAACCCGGCAACTCAACAGCTCTAAACCCTAAACCCTAAACCCTAAACCCCTAACCCTAAACCCTAAACCCCTAACCCGAAGCCCGAAATCCGTATAGACCCTCAACCCGAACTCGTCCTGCAGCTCCGTGTCCAAGTCGGCGCGTTGGCTGCGGCCTCTAAGCCAAGTAGTTCTACGCTGGGGCTTGTAGAGAACCAATCTGCTTAGGGGTTCGGGTCCAGCATCTCAAGTCCAAGCATTCACTAGTCAAGCAGTTTATCGAGAGTTGAAAAGATCCACCCGCCCAAAGAATCCCATAACATTCAGAAAATATGAAGTTCTGCATTACATAGAATCCCGCAAGTCAGCATATATCTTACCCATCTTCAAACAGCCGCCCAGCACTAAGCTAGAGTTAGCTGGGGACTCTCCACCACCCCACCCTTCCCCCCCCCCCCCTCGAAGCCTGCTGGCAGACCCTAAACCCTAAACCATAAACCTCTAAAACCCTAAAACCTAAACCCTAAGCCCTAAACCCTAAACCCTAAACCCACCCTAAACACTAGCACCCTACACCGTGTTGGGCCTTGTTCTTCGAAGGCCTTGAGCCGTTCCACAAGGTCGTCCTGCAAAGCACATGAGCATTTCCCAACATAGGGGTTTGGGGTTTAGGGTTTAGGGCTTAGGGTTTAGGGTTTAGGGTTTACATGGAGGTTTCCGAAATGGCAAAGCAGAGAAGGCTGGAGGAAAACAAGGGGCGTTTGGGGGGGGCGGTCTCTACGATTAGGGCTTAACTTTTCTACTATCTACTATAGTGTTTAAGGTTTTCTACTATCTACTAGGGTTTAAGTCTTCGGGCTTATGGCTTAGGCTTGTGAAGTCATGAACCCTGTTTGGGCGTCGATTGCAGCATTTTGGGGTATGGGAGGCTGGGGGAACTCTATCGTTTAGATGTCTTTACTGTACTGTCTAGGGCGCTTTGGGACGAAGTGTTTGGGGCATTCAGGGTTTCGGGTTTAGTCAAGCCTGCACCCCAAACCCCTAAGCCCTTCCAGAATCTGAGTACTGCAAACCTGAGACGGAACCCTGAAATCTAAACCCACTTTCGGCAAGACCGAAACATGGCACCCCTGCAAACCCTCAACGCCGCAACCCTAAGCCCTCAACTCCAAAAAACTCTAGCAACATAAATACATAGACATGCATATTTCAGTTGATATAAGACACATATGCATACATATGTATATATATATGTATACATATATATATATACATGTATTTATTGGTTTATACTTATGCGCAGATAGAGTCTATGCATCCCTAAACCCGAAAGCTCTACACCCCGAAAAAACCAAACGAACCACACCCTAAACCCTACATCCCACACCTAAACCGTCCCCCCCCCCCCCCCCCCCCTCGGCCCTCTCCCCCCCAACCCTAAACCCTAAACCCACCTAAACCTCAAACCCTAGACCCCTAAACCCTAAACCCTTGTGGCCTTGGCTTCGGCTATCATCTCCCTGGCCACCTCCACGCTTGACCGGATGGTGCTTTGCTCTTGCCGTTTTTGAATTTAGGGCTTTGGGGTTTAGGGCTTTAGCGCTTTAGGGTTGTAGGGTTTTAGGGTTTTAGGGTTTTTGGGTTTTAGGGTTTTAGGGTTTTAGGGTTTTAGGGTTTTAGGGTTTTAGGGTTTTAGGGTTTTAGGGTTTTAGGGTTTTAGGGTTTTAGGGTTTTAGGGTTTTAGGGTGTTAGGGTGTTAGGGTTTTAGGGTTTTAGGTTTTAGGGTTTTAGGGTTTTAGGGTTTTAGGGTTTTAGGGTTTTAGGGTGTTAGGGTGTTAGAGTTTTAGGGTTTTATTGTTTTAGGGTTTTAGGGTTTTAGGGTTTTAGGGTTTTTAGGGTTTTTAGGGTTTAGGGTTTTAGGCCTTTAGGGTTTTTAGGGTTTTTGGGGTGTTTAGGGTTTAGGGTTTAGCGTTGAGGGTTCCCCTCAGAACACCCAAAGCCATGGACCCTATGCCCACTACTTTGGGTTGAGGGCTCAGGGTTATGGTAAAGTAACGCAGCGAACTCGATGATCGGAGCTATACCATGTGCACCCTGGAAACCGATAACATGTGGGTGGCAGTGTTTGAAACGAACCGGAAAGACGGATGACTTGAATGAAGGTCCTACAGGTTGCGCATGCCTAAAGAAGAAGTCTCAATCAAATGCTCTCAACAATACAACTTGGGATGTTCCCCTTATACCCTTAGTAGGGATTATAGTACCACCTGTTATGATCCCTATTAAGGACTGTTAGTAGAAGGGGGAAAACCCCGAAACACAACGACAGTGGTTCTCACGATCCCTTTTTAGACGGCCTTTGGACCATGAACCCATAGTCGTCGTATGGGTAGTTCTCTCATTGAGCATGAGGGGGTCTAGGGTTTAGGGTTTAGGGTTTAGGGTTTAGGGTTTAGGGTTTAGGGTCTAGGGTCTAGGGTTTAGGGTTTAGGGTTTAGGGTTTAGGGTTTAGGGTTTAGGGTTTAGGGTTTTGGGGGATCCTTGTTGCAAGGGTGCTGTATTCGAGGGTATCCAAAAAAAGATCAAAAACAAACACCCTGATGTAGAGAGGATACCATAATTATGCAGGTTCCTCACTTTGAGGGTTTAAAGTAAGGGTCTGGAGTTTAAGGCGTGCGCGAAAACCCTTGAAGCCGTTCAGCCCAGGCAACTCTGAATCTAATCCCTGAACCCCAAACCCTAAACTCCCTAAACCCCCCAAACCCTAAACCTCTAAACCTCAAAACCTCAAAACCTCAAAACCTCAAAACCTCTAAACCTCTAGACCTCTAAACCTCTAAACCTCGAAACCTCTAAACCTCTAAACCTCTGAACCTCTAAACCTCTAAACCTCTGAGCCTCTAAACCTCTAAGCCTCTAAGCCTCCAAACCTCTAAACCTCTAACCCTAAACCGCCTAAACGTCTAAGCCCGAAAACCCTAAAACCCTAAACCCGTCGGACCCCAAAACTCCTCAACCATCAACCCAAAATCCTTGAAGCGCACTGGTTGTGTCTCTCGCAGCCCAAGTACCTGAAGCCCTAAAACCCTGAAACCCTAGAGCCCTAAACCCCTACATCCCCAAAACACTAAAACCCTAAAGCCCTAAACCCTAAACCCTAAACCCTAAACCCTAAACCCTAAACCCTAAACCCTAAACCCTAAACCCTAAACCCTACGCCGGCCTCCTGTGCCCCGAGGGACGCCTTGGAAGCCATCTGCTCTGCCTCAGTCCCCGTGCGCTTCCAGGGGCGTTTAAAGCAGAAAGCAGCCACCTCGTTTAGGGTTTGGGGTTTAGGGTTTAGGGTTTAGGGTTTAGGGTTTAGGGTTTAGGGTTTAGGGTTTAGGGTTTAGGGTATAGGGTTGATTAGGGCTTGGGGTCTAGGATCCCGTTGTTAAGTGGAGAGTTTAGGGTCTCAGGGTTCCCGAAGCCCCAAAGCCCTGAAGCACAAATGGTAGGCTGTGACCCCGTGGTTGCAGCTTAGAATTGCAGGGTTTCCGGTCTAGGCCAACAATCTCCTAACTGCAAGGTAGTGGCCTCCAAACAAAAAGAATCATTGCGGCAAAGCCCGAAACCCTAAACCCCATAAACCCTATGACCTCTAAAGCTCTCTAAACCCTGTAAGCCCAAAAAACATGCGCACACCAATAAAAGCCGCGCAAAGAAACCCCATAAACCCTGGACCACGTATATCCTAAACTGGAAACCCTAAACCCCACAAACCCTGCAAACCCTAAACCCTAGTGTGGCTGACGTGGCCGTCCCTCACCCCATAACCCAAAACCCCGTAACCCGTAGACCCGATACACCCCATAAACCCTTTCAACCTATAAAACCCTATAGACCTGTGAAACCCTCTGAACCCGATACATCCGATAAACCCTATGAACCCCATGAAGCCTATCAACCCTATGAACCCTCTGAACCCCACAAAGAGCCGGCAAACCCTACGAAAATCTATGAAACCCACATAAACCCTAGCAAACCCAATAAACCCCTAGTTTACCCTATGAAAACCCTATAAAACCCTCTGAAACCCGAAGAGGTCTTTGAGGAGGGGCGAAGCAAGGTTGAGGTCGACGCCCGAACTGCGGCATTCTGCGCCACCTCTGCAGGGGACCCCTCAACTCGGTAGGGCTTAGGGCCTCAACTCAGAAGAGGGCTTAGGGCTTAGGGCTTAGGGCTTAGGGCTTAGGGCTTAGGGCTTAGGGCTTAGGGCTTAGGGCTTAGGGCTTCGGGCTTAGGGCTTAGGGCTTAGGGCTTAGGGCTTCTGTTTAGGGCGTTTAGGGCTTTAACTGGCCCTTGTGTGGTTCGAGTGTTCACAATTAGGGTTTTGTGGGGCTTCGTCACCTAGGGCACCTTAGGCTTTTTGGGGTACAGGTAGGGTTTAGCACTTAGTGTCTCGGGTTCAGGGTGTTTAGGGTACAGGGGCGACAGGGTGCTTCCCTCGGTCTGTCTCCAGCTGGCACTCGTCAAGCGCAGTTCTGCATCTTGCGAAGTTTTTTCGCGCCCACCGCGGCCTCCATGCTGAGGTCCTTCGCCTTGGACATCGGCCCCGCGCCGCGCCAATGCCTGGTAGATACGAAGGGTGAGGCCGGCCCGGCTGTCTGCGGATATCTGCAGCTTTCTTGTATCCACGCCATGCCCACCTCCACGATAGGGCTTAGGGGCCTAGGGCTTAGGAACAGGAAAGTGTGAAGTCCCATTTCGGGTGCTTCACATACCAGTCCTCCAGCTCTTGTGCCTCCTTGCATCGAGCAGTGTGTCTGTGTGTGTGTGTGCGTATGCGTGCATATGCTTGCGTCCGCGTGCGTATGCGTGCGCATGCCTGCGTATGCGTGCGTAGGCGTGCGCTTAGGGCTTAGGGCTTAGGGCTTAGGGCTTAGGGCTTAGGGCTTAGGGCTCAGGGCTTAGGGCTTAGGGCTTAGGGCTTAGGGCTTAGGGCTTAAGGCTTAGGGCTTAGGGCGCTAGGATTTCGGTAGGGCTTTAGGATTTAGGGTTTAGAAGTTAGGAATTATGGCTTAGGGTAGGGCTTAGGACTTAGGTCTTAGGGCTTGGGTTCAGGGCTTCGGGCGTAGGGCTTGGGGCTTCGGATTGTTTGTTTTCAGGGTTGAATCGGGACTATTCCCTAAATCGAGGTATGCGAAGTCCTGGGAACTTGGAGTGGGGGGGTTTGGGGTTTAGGGGGTGGGGGTTCGGGGGTTTGGGGTTCAGGGATTTAGGGTGTTTAGACTGAGGGGTGGGGTCTGATCTCGAGCGTGGCAAGAAGGATGCCAAGCTAGATCCCTAAACCCTAAACCCTCTCTTACCTATATAATTGACCCCCGTGGGCGGCAAAACTTCGGGCAAATTTGCCTGCTTATGAGCATTTTTGCCTGCTTGTGGGCACCTTTTTGCCTGCTTGTGGGAAGGGTCTAGGGTCTCAAGGGTGTAGAGTCATAGGGTTTAGGCTTGGGTTTTGGGTCCGCTGGATTTTGAGCTTTAAGCCTACTGGGAATGGATTGAGTGAACTTTGTATCTTCTCAATGTTATGGGTTTCTTGGGTGGGTGGGCTTTTTTCTAACGCTTGACAAGCTGCCCGACTAGTGAGTGCTCGGACTTGAGATGCTGAACCCTAAACCCTAAACCCTAAACCCTAAACCCTAAACCCTAAACCCTAAACCCTAAACCCTAAACCCTAAACCCTCACGAGTTGATCTCCGAAGAATGCCAGCAACAACTGCATTCCCGGGGTCGCCGAAGAACATCTTCGGCGGAGCATGTTCAGGAGTTGCCGTTTAGGGTTTAGGGTTTAGGGTTTAGGGTTTAGGGTTTAGGGTTTTGGATTTTGGGTTTTGGGTTTAGGGTTTAGGCTTTAGTTTACGTCTCCTGCCCGAACCTTAAACCCTAATCCCGAAACATCTTCTTCGGTGCAATCCTCTTCTTTCTCTTGCCTGGCACCGTCATCCTACTGTTTAGGGTTTAGGGTTTAGGGTTTAGGGTTTCGGGTTTAGGGTTTAGGGTTTAGGGTTTAGGCTTACAATCTAGGTTTCTGAAGGGAGGGGTGTTCATTGGGGGTAGGTTCCTAGGGCTTGGGCAAGCCTAGGGAGCCTTCGAGACTTGCGTGAGGTCGGGTAGTTGCTTGCACTACGCTTTGGCTCCTCACCAGCCAAATGGTCTCGCACTTGTTTTCTGCACTGGCGTTCGCCTTCAGTCTCCGTCTCGTGCACCCGGGCGGTTTCCAGTTACGCTATTGCGCTTACTTCCAACCTATGGGTGACCTTCACTCTAGGGGTTACTTGAGCCAATGTGGTGAACAGGCCACGGCGTTCTAAAGTGGTTTCCCCGATGTGCGGCGGAGCCGACACAAAGGGGTCCCCAGAACGTGCTGTGGTGCGGGGATCATTCACACCCCCCACGGTTGGGATTTGCAAAATGCTAGACGAAATTGCGTCACGAACATACAATGGTCCCAGTTAAAAGCGACTTATAGTCTGGCCGTTCTCCACTGTTTTGCTCTATTTGCCCGAATTGATAGATGTGAGACAGACTTTCAGCTACTGAAGCGTTCAATCCCATCCTTTGTCTGTACAAAGACTTGCTGCTCACGGTTGTGGAATCATGGGCGCGAAAGGCCCTGAAAACATGTCAGCAAATTGCTGATCCATCACATTGCGTCTCCAGAATGCATGACTGAGAAGCAGTAGCATCGGCCAAGTCAGCAGAGCATGACCCATACCCACTTGGCTACCACACGAGCTGCGAAGAATCGCACATTTCCCTCCAGCGGGCGCATTGGCACATTGCCCCGCTGCTGCTACGCAGTGGCCGAAAAGAGAAATAGCATCGGTGGATATAATGACGTACTCCATCGTGTCATCTATTGCATCCATAGGGAAAAGAGGAATCAAAACTGAGAACGCAAAGTGCTGAGCCACAACCATATTTCAGGAATACCATGGATTCCAGGGGATGACATACCGGAGGATCCGAGTACATCATTCACCCTTTCTTTCCCGATCCCTTTCTTGAATGACCACGAGGATCTTTGGGAGCAGCTTGAGGTGTCCCAGGATGAGAAGTCTTGGGCTTCGGCTGACTCATGCGGGCCTTCGCTCGAGCCGGCATGTCCGTCTCGTCCGCTTCAGGATGACGAGATCCTCCCGATGAGGTAACCGAAGGTGCGGATGCTGAAGGGTCATAGGCAAGGTACAAAGCCGACGCCTTTGGATTCTCCAAATACTGTGTGGGCTTCAACTTCAGGATGCTCATGTCCTTCTTTTGATCACTCAACCATCTGTCCAGCTTCTTGCTGTACTGGTTGGGTAGAGCGCACCCCGAATCCCTCATCACCAGAAGGTTGTTGACGCTCACCTTCTGCGAGTCCATCAAACTGAGCAGCTGGATCGGGTTGATGTATTTGAATGCCGCGTGGTACGGGATCTCAGCGTTGGGTTTCGTGTAGGAGTAAAGCCTCACGTTCAACACCTGATAGATGATTTTGGCCATGAACATGTGGACCCTTTGCCCGGCTTCAGCAAATGCTTTCGGGTCCTCGGCCTCATCAGGAATCATGGGGAGGTTAAAGCTCTCCTTGTTGTACCCCAGCTGGATCGCCCCACGCATGACGTAGAAGACGAACTTGTTGGCGTAATAACGCTCAATCATGAACTGCTGGTTCTCCACAGAGCTGGCATACTGCCTTACCTCGTCTTCCATGAGGTCTCTCGGCAACGCCGTGTCCTCATCGATAGGGACAATAGGCCATGTCCCAGACGCGTCGTGTCTCATGCCTGAGGCGAACTGGTCCTTCATCTTCTTGTATGGAGTCATGATGATTTTCTCAAACAGATTCCATTTATGGACCAACACGTACGCAAAGAAGGCGTCGAGGTGACAGTACAACCTGAAGTTGTGGTCCACGCATGCTGCGTAGTCGGTGTCAATGTTGACATTGCACTCCAGCGCAAGGCGAGCTTTCCTCTCGTTTCGATCGTCCAACGAATCGCCTTCCCTGTCTCCCACCAGCACGAATGCTCGCTGATTCTGCGCATCCATCTCCACCTCTTCTTGATTGGGAGCCTCCATCTCCACATCGCGGTACATGTCGCGAATCTCGTCGGGGATCTCCTCGGCCTCAGGCTCCGCCACGCTTTCCCGTGGACTGTTTGCCTCCACATCCCCTGCTGGATTCTGCACCCCGCGGAGCGGAAGCGCATCCTCCTGAACAGGTTCTGATGGTGGCTCATCTTCCACTTCAATCTCCACAACCTCGTTGTTGACGACGGCAGCGGCCTGGTTGAGCGCCTGGCGAACCACTTCCGGATCAATCCTTTCGGGTTCCGGATTGGCACGCACATGCTGGATCCTCCCCATGGACAAGAAAACTCTCCCACACGTGAGGCAAATTGCGAAGCTCGCAGGGGTATGCCTGCCGCAGCAGGGGCAAACCCTCAAGATCAGCGGATCGCTTGTGGTGGTGTGAGTCGTCACACGCCGGAATGTCCTTGAGAGAAACTGGAAAGCACGCTTGATGATGTTTCCAGGAACGGTGTCGCCCGCCTGCTCAATTGCTTGCAAGATCTCGCGCCTCTCGCCTTCATGCGGGCCAGCGTCGGTGCCTTCCATGGTGCTGACGAGGCCTTCCACCGAAGGTTTTGGAGGGTCACGATCGGGATTGATGCGTGCGTCCCCGTACCCTTCGACCATCTCCTTGGACAGTTCTTTGGAGTACACCTTGAAGACTTCGCTGAACTCGAAGTACCTTCCCTGGCTTGGCATGCAGATCCAAACGTGTTTGACGGCCTCGAATGGAATTTGCCGCTGGACGAGAAACATTCCATTGATCGTGATCACTGCGTTGTAGCGCATGAGCTCATAGGCTGGAACGTACAGTACTGCAATTGGTGACCTCGGCCTTCCGGGAATCCTTGTTCTCACCGTCTGATTTCTCGGATCCCATGGCGGGAACGTCCCGAAATGGCTGTGGACCCGACCGCCTGACGCCCCTCCGCCTGGAAGAAGCCCTTTCGCCACGATGTTGGCGAGAAGCTCTGGGGCCGTGGTGTGATACCCCCCACCAATCTGGTTGACCAAGCTTGTAGTCAAGTGGCATGCGACCCGGTCGTCATTCACCCGCACCAGCGAATTGGAGTTGCTGGAGTGTCCACTTGTGGCCCTGATCGCCCATGGCTGCACCCAATTGTCGCATCGACGTAGGGTACCGGACGTGATGTCATGCGTCAACCTGTGCCCTCCGAGTTCTTCAAGTTGGGCACGCTGGGTTGCGCCGACGCCCGGAGTGCCGTCCCACGGCGTATCAGACGCTCTTTGTCCAGGTTTGGGCGCCACGATCTTGATGCCCAGGAATTGGAGTCTAATTCTCCCATTGGTGCGGTACTCGTAGTACGCGTAGTCGATCAGCATTTGAATTCTTCTCTGATACTCCGAGTTGTCGTCTCGAGCTGAACTCCTTGCGTAATACCTCCCGCTTTGCCAGAAATTCTCCAAGTGGATGAAGTCTTTGAGCATCACCCCTCCTCCGGTGTCGCACGGGATTGTCGGGAGCTGG